AAGAAGAATTGTTGTTAATATGTGTCTAAAGAATCTTACTAAATCCAACAAACTTTGCAGAAACACGAAGTTACCAAGTTTAATGAACCAGTGATGAACAAAAGAATAGAAGAACTGAAAATAATTAACAAATCTAAAGTTTGTAAAACACGTACCAGAATCTGGAAATTTTTAATAGGAAAAAGATCAAGTCCACTGAATTCACAGTGTCCCCTTAAGGAAATTATTCCCCTCTAGTATTCGAGGTTTGATTTGGAATATGACCTTCCAGGGTAAAACGATCAATCACCAGAGTATAGATACCAAAAACTCCGGTGTCAGCGAACCACTCAACGGCAGTAAAGTACACTTAGAATACTAGATTTAGTAGCTGAAGAAGAAGTCCATAAATTCCATTTAAAATGAGAGGAAATCCCTCAATTTATAGAAAACAAAGGATAGTATGAAAAGATTGTTATTGTGCCTTACCGGAAAGGTCACAAACCTTTGGAAAAACAAATCTTTCAGAAAGGTGGTCACACTTTCCATAAATGTCACAACTTTTCATAAAAGTCGCAATTTTTCATAAAAGTCGCAACATTTCATATATGTCACAACTCTTCATAAAAGTCGCAACTCTTTATTTTCTATTCACACCTTTTTAAAATCCAACAATAACACTATTTGTATAGTTGTTTATGCCATTTTAAATATAAATAAATATTTTTATGTGTTTATAGAAGAAGCAAATTAGATTATTTAGTCTTTATTTTTGTTAAAGGCATGTATACACTGTGTATCCTTCCTCCATAAAAATGTATATGATTGTTCGGAGGGGGGGGGGAGTTTGATAATCTTATGTTAATACTTGTCTAGCTCAAATTTCATTAAATGTTCTATAAGTGCCTCAAATTTTATGTTTAAGTCTAATTATTTAATAAACTTATATATACGTTTTTTATACTTAAGTTTTTCTAAAATAAGGGGTAATTTGTTATTTTATAATTGTTCGTCTGACATAAAATCATAGGAAAAGATTAATAAAATTCAGCAAAAATAATTTTTAAAGATGTAGATATTTGAACTGCACAAATCTATCTGTCACTTTATAAACGATATTGGAGTAACAAAGAGGGAAGAGAAAGAGCAAGATAAGATGGGATCTGATTATCATTATTATTTACCTTGAAATATCTTTTTATTTTTATTTATTATATGTAGAAAAAACGAGAATTGTTTGATTCTTGTTAAAAACATTTTTCTTTGTATTTTTTCTTTTATTTTTAAACTTGAAAAGGGTCAAAACTATAATATCTTTCGTTTGTTGATTGTGTTGAGGTTTTGTGTAGTTTTAGGTGAGAAAATTGTGTAAGTCAGTAGTGTTCATGAAATTTGTTTTGATATATGGAGAAAAGTGGATTGAAAGGTGGGTATATTGTTTGTCTTCGGACTGGAAGGACAAGGAATATGGTCTTATATTTGCTCGTTAATTTGAGTAAGGGTTGGTGTTGATTTTAAAATGGACTAGCTATTGGGTATAAAATTACGTGATTTTCCATGGGTAGAAATTGATGTGTACTGGTGACGTGACTATATTTTTCACATGGTAGGCTTGATGTCATTAGTTAAAGTTAGGGGTATTCGTGAGTCAACAAAAAAAAGGGAGTATTTTTTTGGTCAAAACACAAGTGAATAATATTTTGAATTTGCTTTAACGAATCCTAGTCAAATATAATATTTATTCTGGGTCAGCTATCATGATTAATCAATTTAATCCTCTATTAGATTTTTTGAGACGATGAACAATTTTCATAATATTTTTTTAAAAGGTATATAAATTTTATAAAATAAGTTTCAAACTAGAAAGATAATGATGATACCACCATTTTGTTTCTTCTTATACTCTACATGTACAGATTTAATTATTTATCAAAAATAATATTATAAATAATTTTTTTAATTAAATCTATCAAGATTGAGATCTATGAAAATATAAGTTAATTAATATGAGCCACTTCATAACCTAAAGAGTGCAATATATTTTTAAAATTATGATGAAATTAATTTGCATATGATAAATGAAGATTTGTTTATTTATTTAGAAAAGAAATTTATATGTATATATATATATATATATATATATATATATATATATCTGACTTTAAAGATGCATTTATGCGGTTATTACAGTCCGTACATCTTCAGAATTAATGGAAATGCTCTCCAACGGAGAGAAAAAATTTGATGTGATAATAATCACTGTTTATTCGCCGAATATAAATTCTTTTAGACTTTTGACTCATCCTGTGATCTTTGATATAATTTCAATATGTTAGTATTTATTCTATTCTTCCAATTATGACATCGATTGGGAGAACAATCAATTACGTTTATAAATACACTAAAAAAATTATTTAATAATTTCCTATTAATATGTACTTAAATTTTTTGAAGCTAAAGAATTTGTTGTTTAGTGAAATTAGTTATTTGTTGTTAATCTATATTTTATTTAGTAAATGATAAGTTATTATTTTGTAACACAATATTTATAGTGAATATGCTTGAAATTAACTATATATATAGTGTTTTATAGAACTAAATTCTAATTGTAAACTTCTTGAAATAATTATGCAATTATATCCGATGAGTATAATGAAATCTTACCAATATGCTTTTTTTCTACAAAGGCCACTAAATTGGAAAATTGTAAAGCACTTATGGCAATTTGTATTGAGAATAAAAAAATATAAAGAGAGTGGGTGGAAAAAGGACAAGAATATGGAGACAAGATTATTGTTAATGATATATACAAATAATATGGGTTGAGAAATGACCAGAAAAGTCATTTTTAGATTTTTTTCCCCAAAATTATCGTATACCCATCTCGATACTTATCCCTAGTAACTTTTGATTAGTTTGTAAAGTTAGTTTGAAATTCGAAACTATTCGATAACTACGATTATTTAGTTGACGTATATTTTATTAATAATTAATTTATTTAATTGATCTTTAGTGGGTCAAGCCCATAACACTTAACCCATATTAAGCATTATAAGTAGTGAGGGTTGCTAATTTTGAATCAGTAATAATGGAAAGAAAAGAGGGTTTGAAGGTTGGGCGCAAGCTGCAAAGGAGAAAGATCGATTCAGGTAAGGATTTTGATGTTTTTAACAAAAGAAAATTAGCATTTTAAAATTCAATGCACTTCATGTTTCTATTTTCTTTGGCATACAGGATTTATGGCCTTTGACACTAATTGAATTAGACGAATAAGTACATAAATCGATTATAGCAACTAAATTATTCATGCGTTAATTAAATAAATTTTATATTTATATATTAAAATAAGGATTAGGTTCTGGGTTTCTTGATGATCTTACCTCTTGTTTTTGTTTATCGAGGTGGGGTCCTGAGTGGTAGAACTCCACTTGATTTTTTTCTATAGTTATCTTGTTATGATTCAAGATTTTTGGTATATTGAAATATGAAATTTAATATTAGGTGTATTATGTTATATGAATACCATTATATTATGACTGAAAAATTATGACTTAACCTTAGACTTGAAATTTTAAAAAATATTACAATTGACATATTTCATGGGATCAAGACTTATAAACTTGAGTAGAAATTTGGGTGAATTTTTGGTCTAGACTAGACACCTAGTAATGTTGGTATTCTTAGATCGAAATCATAATGTTATTATTCACTTGATAGATTGTATTGATTTGGAGACCCACCGTAAAGGGGAAGAGTCAAGTTCCGGAGTGAATTGTTGATGAATTGAGGCAAGTGGATTTCTGAACTCTTGTTAAGTGAATGAAATACTTGTATTTCCTTGTTGTATATGTGTGGGAGTAATGAGATTGGTGATGGGTTGACCTGTCCACATTGATTAATTATAATGATGAAAAAAAAGGGGATAACAAAAGGTAATGTGATTAATTGTTTATGTGTGATTTTGTTGAGAAAGGGTTGAAAGCTTGTTGAATCATTGTCGATCTGACCTCATATTTGTGTGATGTGAACTGTGCGATGTTATGAAAATGGTCATCTCCTCATTATTTGTGTGAATTTGTCATATGCATTATTCTGAGGCATTGGTTATGACAAGTGTTATGTGCATTGAGAAAGAATGAGTATTTAAGCGGATGAACCATTTCGAGGGACGTATTGCGCGCCGAGATGGATACTTTTTTTCGAGGGATGTATCATGCGCCGTCATAGTTACTATTATCGAGTGTTGTGTCGTACGCTGCGACAGATGCATGGAAAGGTATGTCCCCCATGGGTCCCGGACTGAGAGACAACGAGTATGTATCACTAGGTCAAACATGCATCATTATACTTGACATTGCATTTCATTGAATTGCACATACTTATCATTAATGAACTCGATATCGTGTTTTGCTGATCTTCTGATTTCCTTTCTGCGGAACTTGTGATTGATCAATATTGAGCTTGTTATCGCAGATATATAATTTGTTGAAGTATTGCTGTTGAGAATATGTAATTTGTTAAAAGTGTTGTTGTTAAGGATATGTAATTTGTCTAAGTGTTGTTGTTGAGCTACGTGCTATGTAAACTGTGAGCTGTTAGGTTGGGTTGATTTTACTGCAAGATGTAGTTGTGGAGGTTCGTTTGGGGATGGTAGGAGTACATGTATTTCATCCCCTTAACTTGTGTTTAGAGGTTTACTTGCTGAGTACCGTGTGGTTTGGTACTCACCCCTTGCTTCTACAATTTTTTGTAGGTTATGAGCCTGAATTGTTGTTGTACTTGTCATTCTTTTCTTTTCCGAGGCTTCTTGGAGATTTATGAGGTAGTTGTTTCCATCTTAGCAGACTTTCTTCTCCATAATTATGATCTTGTTCTATTCTAGAAACAAGTTGATTTGAGACTTGAGTTTTTCTTTTGAATCAATTGTAATACTTTAGAGGCTTGTACACGTGACTACAAGGTTTTGTGGGTTTTATTAAGTTACTTATATTTTATTTCCACACTTTATTGTAATGGTTGAGTTTTAGGCTGACTTGTCTTGGTGGAATAAGACAAGTGTCATCACATCTATTTTTGGGTCGTGACAAAATGGTATCAAAGCCCAGGTTCATCGGTCTCATGTGTATACAAGTCGAGTCTATGTAGAGTCTCGAAGATCAGTACGGAGACGTCAGTACTTATCTTCGAGAGACTGTAATGAATTTTAGGAACACATTTCACTTCTTGAATCTCTATCGTGCGTACTTGATCCGATTTTGATTCTTCTCGCCTTATTTGGTTCATTCTGATTTATAGTGATGATCTTGTGTAGTTCCTCATTTGAGTATTTGGTGTGTTGTATTAGTCTTTGATGTTAAATTTGTTACAAATGTGGAATTGATATATTTATGGGAAGGATGTGTATCAAATTTGGAATGTTCAATGACTCAACTAGATTAAGTTAGGTGATTACTTGATGAAACATTTCGAAGATTAGGTTGAATAGTGACTTAGCGGACTTCACGAGCGTCTTATACTTTGTTTAGACTAGTAATCTAGTATCAATACTTGTGTGGCATATGAAATATCTTGAGTGGTTTGACAATTGAAAGTTAAATGACTAAAAAAAAGGTTAGATAATGAATGTGATAACTTTAAAAGCTACATTTAATTAAAGTTTTATAACATATATGGGCTACTTAGTGAATGATGAGAGTGATATTACACTAATCGAAGTTAGAATCTATATTTTAGTTTCATACATTGAGGGAATGTCAAAGAGAATTCCAAAATTACTACTATAAACGTATCGATCATCACTTGCTAAGAGTTATGGACTGTGTAATTCGTACTATTGACCTGATCTATGAATGAATCACTTTAAGTGAGAGATCGAATGAATTTAGTAGTGTATTGCAACTACTTTATGGTCAGAAATGTGTGAGCTATTGAGCATAATCTTCTCGAGGTGTATGTTGAATCCTAGTGGTGGATTTAACAAAGTTTCACGATGTGGTACTAGTGATATATAAAAATGGGTATAACGATTGTTAAGTACAAATAATAACTACTTAAGGAGTTATCTATTGTATCACATGCTCGTATAATAATATTTGGTGTTTCATTTGTATTTGAGAAACCAACTAGCTTGTTACTACAAATGGATGAGTTAAACATTATTTATAAGAAATATCTTAGTGGTGGAATATTGGTATGATATTGATGTGTTCATGTTGTGAAATGTATTTTGTGAATTTTAAATGAGAGTTGATTTCATCGTAAGCTCCATGGAAGTGGACCGACATTAGGACGAGCTTATAAGTAAAGTAAGTCTCAATAAGAATACTAGTGTGAACATAATTGAGAATATTAGTAAGAAAGTGCGTATAAGATTGTGTTAGTCTTTTGAATTTGATTAGTATAGTGTGTTTGAGATGTCATCTCGATGACAAAGTTGACTTTGTTGTGATTAGAAGGGATAACTGAGCATAATGGTAATAAGAGATTGTAATGGACTGAGATTGGTGTGAACTATATGATAATGATAGTTTGTTAAATGAATTTTTGTATAGTAATGACAACTTGCGAGTATATATTGTTATGGTTTGCTATTATTTGGTGAGTAGTCTGGTTACAAGTAAAGTTATAGGAGGTGTTGAAACACTGCTTGAATAGAATTTAAAGGAGCTAGAGTCTGAATGAAAAAAATAATAATAAATAAATTAGCTGGTATAGTGTATCCTTCGGAAAGAGGTGAGAGTAAGAATATTTTCTTTGATTGCAAGGGCTAAAGAGGTATATACACATGGGTTGAGAATAGGGTTTAGAGATACATGATTTCACCCATATTTTTCTTTGATTATGGTAATATATAGTGTCACAAGATCATCAGAATGGTTAAAAACTATTGGATAAATCTTGAGAAAGGAGTGAACAATTGTTCATCTCGAGTATGATAATTAGTTCTTTTGTGGTTTTGAGTTTGATAATGAATATGGTAGAATTTTTAGCGAAAGATATGATAAGGTGGATGGAGAGGTGATCAATGATAAGCTAAGATACGTGAATTCATAATGATGTTCAATATATGAACTAATGTTGGTAGATAATGGAATCGTGTTACATGGTTAAAAATAAATTAAGTTTTTCATGGTGAGTTTATGTTCATGGTAGATGTTTTGTCAAGGTATAAATTGGTAAAGTAAGGAATGATTGATAACATTGAGTATGAAGTATTTGTAAGTACTTAAAAATAATTTAAGTAGGAAATTTGGTTACTTTTGATTGTTATATCTAAGGGGCGTTTCATGTAATGTTTTGGTTTGGAGGATAATGTAAAAATATATTGCGTTGTTGGTCAAAGGATAAGATTGGTAAGTAACTCAACAAAAGCAACAAGAGTATGGCGTATTAAAAGGTTCAATATATTAGGAATTTTATGTCAAGGGAAGAATTTGAGAAAAGTGAAGTAAAATGACCTCTTGTATAAGCCATTGATTGTAGTTGAATATTTTATTAATTGTTGTCTATGAATATAGATATGAATGTGAGAATTAAGATATGAACGTGAGATGTGAAATAGTTCGGTATTGACTTGCTAGGGGTTTATCATCGAAGTTGTAGAAAGATTGAGTTTTAATTGGGTGACAAGTAATTAGGTGTGATAGGTTTTTATATCTACCTAGATTGTTCAAATTAGGATAGGTAACTTATGGATATTCGGCAGAGTGGACCTACAATTCTACATTGTTAATGAGTATTTTAAGGGATTGAAACACTTGATGGGACGATATAATCAGTTATGATGCATTATATAGGTCTTTTATAGTGATTAAAGGTTATGAGCTTATAGTATACTGAATTATTGGAGTGACCAAGAATTTCTTAAGTGTTGGCATGAGGGATATGATGGTTTGAAGGATGGTTGAGACTTGGAATGTCAGTGATACCATGTTGTTGACCATAGGTTTGATTCGTTTATCATGTCAGAATGGAAAGAAAGAGAGCCATAGTTGAAAATTTTTAAAGGCTATAATGTGTTTGCTAAGAAAATTTTGATAGTAGTGACAGCTTGAGAGTAAGGTAAAGGGTCGATGTGGTTATGATGTTTGTTAGTATAAAGAGTGTTGACTTTAAAGAAGTATTGTGAGAAGTATGTTGAATTTGTTGAATAAAGTATTTGTTAAGTTGTAATGAGTATTAGACTGGTTGATTGTGGGTGACTAAAAATCGAATGAAGGGAGTCATATGAATGAAAATGTTTTAAATGGGACTATGGAAAAAGTATCTACTATTATTTGACTTTGGTTCTGTATATTCTTATGTGACCAGCTACTTCATGATAGATATGATTTGGAGTGTCATTAGTTGTCTATGCACATACATATTTTTACTTCTATGGGTGCATCCCTAGTGGTGGATCGGGTGTACCGATCCTGTGACGTGCTTTTGGTAGGACAAGATACTTGGACAGATTTAATTACTTTAGATATGACATATTTTGGTGTTTTCTTGGGATAATTGAAGTATACCAGTAGTTCTACACACACAACCTTGCTTATGAGAAATTATATAAGAGCTATGAAGAGTTACAATTGTTTAAAAAGATTGTTAGAGGTTCTACATTTTGAAGTGTATCTCTTGTTGGGTGTTTACATGATCATTTTCTTCTTTGGGTTAGATAAGTTTGAATTCACCCTTGATGAGTATTTAATGTCGAAAGATTGGATTTTTATAACTTAAGTTTTTGGAAATATAATGTTGTGAAAGGAAAATCTTGATGATATTTGTTATGGTTTGTGCATTATAGGTGTGTGGTGGTTGATTCAAGATCACATCTGATTGTAGTAGGTATTGTTTCAAAAGGTTATCTTTGTTATGTGGAAAAAAAAGAATTTTTTTTCATTAAGGTTGTTTAAAAGGTCTGGTGGGTTTTAATTTAGATTGGATTCTTGAGTAAGTTTGTGACTTTAAACTCACTCTTGATTCATAGATCTTCATAAGTTCATTCGGAAGCTTAGTTCATAGTAGTTGATCTTGATGTAATTGTCTTAAAGAACGAACTCACTTGAAGAGATAAACAGCCGACCGGTGAGTCATTGCTTAAGCCTTTAGTATACACCAGTTATTCATCTGTTTTTCTTTATTATGTTCAAGGACGAACATGGATTTTAGTGGTGGATAATGTAATTACCGGGAAAATCATTTTTAGATTTTTTTTACAAAATTATCGTTTACCCATCTCGATAGTTATCCCAAGTCACTTTTGATTAGTTTGTAAATTTTGTTTGGAATTCGAAAATATTCGATAACTACGATTATTTAGTTGATGTATATTTTATAAATAATTAATTTATTTAATTGATCTTTAGTGGGTAAAGCCCATAACACTTAACCCATATTAAGCAATATAAGTAGTGAGGGTTACTAATTTTGAATCAGTAATAATGGAAAGAAAAGAGGGTTTGAAGGTTGGGCGCAAGCTGCAAAGGAGAAGGATCGATTCAGGTAAGGATTTTGATGTTTTTAACAAAAGAAAATTAGCATTTTAAAATTTAATGCACTTTATGTTTATAATTTCTTTGGAATACAGACTCTATGGCCTTTGCCACTAATTGAATTAGACGAATAAGTACAAAAATCGATCATAGCAACTAAATTATTCATGCGTTAATTAAATAAATTTTATATTTATATGTTAAAATTAGGATTAGGTTCTGGGTTTCTTGATGATCTTACCTCTTTTTTTTGTTTATCGAGGTGGGGTTCCGCGTGGTAGAACTCCACTTGATTTTTTTTCAATTTTTCTATAGTTATCTTGTTATGATTCAAGATTTTTGGTATATTGAAATATGAAATTTAATATTTGGTGTATTATGCTATATGAATACCATTATATTATGAATGAAAAATTATGATTTAACCTTAGACTTAAAATTTTAAGAAATATTACAATTGACATATTTCTTGGGATCAAGACTTATAAACTTGACTAGAAATTTGGGTGAATTTTTGGTCTAGACTAGACACCTAGTAATGTTGGTATTCTTAGTTCGAAATCATAATGTTATTATTCACTTGATAGATTGTATTGATTTGGAGACCCAATGGAAAGGGGAAGAGTCAAGTTTCGGAGTGAGTTATTGATGAATTGAGGCAAGTGGATTTCTGAACTCTTGTTAAGTGTATGAAATATGTGTTTTTCCTTGTGGTATAAGTGTGGGATTAATGGGATTGGTGATGGGTTGACCTATTCACATTGATTAATTATAATGGTGAAAAAAAGGGATAACAAAAGGCAATGTGATTAATTGTTTATGTGTGATTTTGTTGAGAAAGGCTTGAAGGCTTATTGAATCATTGTTGATGTGACTTTATGTTTGTGTTATTGTGAACTGTATGATGTTATGAAAATGTTCATCTCCTCATTATTTGTGTGAATTTGTCATCTGCATTATTCTGAGGCATTGGTTGTGACAAGTGTTATGTGCATTGATAAAGAATGAGTATGTAAGAGGATGTACCCTTTCGAGGGACGTATTGCGCGCCGCGATGGATACTGTATTTTAAGAGACGTATCGCGTGCCGCGATTGTTACTATTATCGAGGGTCGTGTCGTGCACCGCAATTGATGATTGGACAGATATGTCCCCCATGGGTCCCGGACTGAGAGACAGCGGGTGTGTATCATTAGGTCAGACATGCATCATTATACTTGGCATTGCATTCCATTGCATTGCACATACTTATCATTAGTGAACTTGATATCGTGTTTTGCTGATCTTTTGATTGCCTTTCTGCGGAACTTGTGATTGATCAATATTGAACTTGTTATCGTGAATATATAATTTGTTGAAGTATTGTTGTTGAGAATATGTAATTTTTTAAAAGTGTTGTTGTTGAGGATATGTAATTTGTCTAAGTGTTGTTGTTGAGCTACGTGCTATGTAAACTGTGAGCTGTTAGGTTGGGTTGATTTTACTGCAGGATGTAGTTGTGGAGGTTTCTTTGGGGGTGGTAGGAGTACCCGTATTTCATCCCCTTAGCTTGTGTTTAGAGGTATACTTGCTGAGTACCGTGTGGTTTGGTACTCACCGCTTGCTTCTACAAATTTTTGTAGGTTGTGAGCCGTGATTTTTGTTGTACTTGTCATTCTTTTCTTTTTCGAGGCTTCTTGGAGATTTGTGAGGTAGCTGTTTCCATCTCAGCAGAATTTCTTCTCCATAATTATGATCTTGTTCTCTTTTAGAAACAAGTTCATTTGAGACTTGAGTTTTCTTTTGAATCAGTTGTAATACTTTAGAGGCTTGTACACGTGACTACCAGGTTTTGGGGGTTCATTAAGTTACTTATATTTTATTTCCGCACTTTAATGTAATGGTTGAGTTTTAGGCTGACTTATCTTGGTGGGATAAGACGAGTGCCATCATGTCCATTTTTGGGTCGTGATAGGAGATAATGAAGATTTATTTAAAAAAATGGTGTACCTAATATTGAAGAGTATAGAAATAATATTCGTGAAGTTGAAGACAATATCCTCCTCCAATTATATTTTCCATTCGATACAATATTGTCCTCAACTTCATGAGTATTATATCCATGTTCCTCAATATTAGTCACACCATTTCTTTCTTTAAATAATTATTCATCATCTCCACCCATATTATTTGTATCAACTTCATTAATAATCATCTTGTCTCCATCTCTTAATTCTTTTTCTGCTCTCTCTTTCTATTTTTCTCCTCAATACAAATTGCCACAAGTGTTTCACAATTTTCTCGTTTAGTGACTTTTGTATGAAAAACATGCTCCTTCTTTCGAAGCCTTTTTTGGTAAGATTTTATTGAATTTAAAGCATACAACTGCATAATTATTTCAAGAAGTTGACAATTAGAATTTAATTGTATTAAATACTATATGAATAGTTAATTTCAAGCATATTCACTGTAAAAGTTACACAAAAGTAATAACTTATCAATTACTAAATAAAATAGACATTAAAAACAAATAATTAATGTCACTAAACAACAAAATATTCATTGCCACTCGTAATTAATATGAATTGTACAAAATTCTTTAACTAAAGAATTTAATTATATATTAATAGCAAATTTTTTAATCGATTTTTGTAGTTGTACGTATAAATGTAACTGACTTTTCTAACAATAGATGTACTAAGTGGAATAATAGAATAAATATTTACATACTGAAATTATATCCAATATACAACTTGAGCCAAGAGTTTAAAAGAATTAAATTTTTTTGAATGAGCACTGATTATAATCACATCAATTTTGTCTCTCCGTTGGAGAGCATTTCCATTGCTTCTGAAGATGTACGAACTGCAGTCACCATGACAATTGGTTCATTTTACATATCTGAATTCTATCATAATTTTCAAATTATATTGCACTCTTGGTTATGTAGTTGCACTCATTAATCAATGTTTATTGTAATAGATCTAAATCTTAGACATATTTACCTAAAAAATATATTTACAATATTATTTTTGACAAATAATTGAATCTATCTATATAGAGTATGAGAAGAAAAATAGTAGTGTTATTATCATTGTCTTCAAGTTTGAAACTTTTTTTTTTAAAAAATATTATGAAAATTTCCCATTTTATAATTTTTTTAAAATAGATGAATAAATTGATTGATCGTTATAGTTAGCCTAAGATAAACGTAATGTTTGATTAGTATGTATTAGAGTATATTCAAATTTATTCCTTTGAAATTGTGGCAAAAAAATAAGTATTTAATGATTGATGCGCTAACAAAAGCATAGAATAATAGGTGTATATGGAAGAACTTTCTTAGAAGGAAGAAAAAAATAGTCCTTTATATTAAAAGGAAAACTTTTAATCAAAAATGAAAAAGGTCAAAAGTACCTCTTCACTATTTGAAATAGAACAAAAATATTACTAATTTGTTTTCTTGGCTAAAAAATACCCCACTTTTTTTGTTGGCCCACAAGTACCACTAAATTTAATTAATGGCACCAAACATGCCATGTGAATTTTTATTTTGTCACATGACCAATAAACATCAATATCCACCATGGAAAAACATAGAATTTAATATCCATTAGCCTGTCCCATTTAAAATCCACCCTAACCCCTAATCTAATTAACATGTAAATACAAGACCATACTCTTAGTGTTCGGCTGAATCAAAGAGGCGTTGATGATGATGATCCTAGTTACCTACGTCTGTATCATAATAAGATGCAGACCAACTAACATCTGTACATTGAATGTACGAGTATGCAAGTTAAAATGTTAAAACAACTTAAGCTTGAAAAAGTTTTAAAAGGTACACTTATCTTGGCTCTGCTCAACTCAAGAATAACTTACCTCAATACTACTCCAAAAAATACTTAGCTCATATAGTTTTAAAACAACTTCTTCTCTTGTTTGAGATAATTACTTAAACTTAACTTTAAAGTTCTCTTGGAAATCATAATTTCCTCTCTACTAAAACTTGTCAAAGGCTTTGTTGGAAGTCTCAGCTTCCTTTCTTGCTCAAAATGTGAAAACATTTGTAACTCTTAGAGAATACTTAGTTCCCTTTTAACTTTTGAGAAATGAACTCCACTCTTTACTCTTTTCTTAATTTGCAACTTGAGACTTAAAAAATTTAAAACGTTGTGAAAGACTCTTGAAAACTTTGAGAAATCACTTTGGCTTGTTTCTTAACTTTTGTACTTGACTCCTAAATTCGTTAAATTTGATCTTAACTTTACTTGAATTAGATTGTGGATTCAAGATTCATGATCTCATGTTTATTAATAATTTCATGATTTTTAGATGTACCTTAGAGCATTGGAATCAACTAAGAAACATAGGTACATTACTTAAGAATTAGTACGAAAAGGTGGGGGAAGAATGGGGAGAACTTGCATCCCTGGTGCTTCGAGAGGCGCAAGGTGCCAGCCCTCAGTGTTTAGAGAACTTTCTTTGGAGCTCTGGCTGTCACAACATGCTAAAGACCAAAGCTCAAAAGAACTTTTCTGGCAATCTTGCAGGCGCGACGCCCCAGCTAGAAAATCATCAACCTTGCTCCTTCAGTTTTCATCTCTAAACCCTTTAATAATCCATGGTTCTTTTCCCAAACAGTTAGGTAGTTAGTACCCTCAATACCAATAGATTTAACTCAAAATACAAACCAAAATTATGAATCAATTCAACACAAGGTATTCGACAACTCAACGAACAAGAATTCAACAATGTTCTTCAAGAACTTCACATACTAACATGTAAACAACTCACCTATCACTGAATTGAAACAAGTTCTGTGTGTGGGTGAATGAAACTTACACTAAATGATCTCACATACCCTGTAGGGACCACTCCCGAGGAATTCCACTCTCAAATTTTTAACTGTTTTGGAAAATTCTTAACTATTGTCCCTTTCTATCTTCTTTTCTTTATTCTCAAAGCCCTCAGCATAATTCTAGCTTTTTAAAACTCAACTAATTTACTTTATCTTTTACCTCAATAATTCCCTAAAAATGAATCAGGAAATTATTTAGCGCAAATTAGATTGTTTATTTTTTGTTCTTTTAATTATTCATAAATGATTTTATGTGTTTATAGAAGAACCAAAATAGATTGTTTAGTCTTTGTTCTTTTTACATGTGTAACACTCGATAGACTTCCTCAATAAAATGTATATGTTTTTTCAAGGGGGGGGGGGGAGGGAGGGAGGGAGTTGATAATCTTATGTTAATATTTTCTAGCTGCAATTTCATTAGATGTTCTATAAGTTCCACAATTCTTGAAACAACATCTTAGAAATATCGCTACAACAATTCGAGATCTCCCAAAGAGCGCAAAAGTAGTCATTGTATCTCAGGCCAAAAATCTTTATGTGAATCTCAACAAAAGAGTATCAATAGAAAATATGGGACAATCAATGCCCCGTCTTCAAAATAATATTCCTAATCATATTGAAAGAGCATTAGAGTCTCCATTTAAACTTCTAATACCAGCAACATTTTTGCCACAGGGGACAGTTCAATAAAAGAGAAACTCTATCCTCCACAATTTCAGGTTCAACCCCACTACCCCAACATTGAGAATTCATTAAATAATCTATTTTATTCTATTTAAAAATTATTGGTGGTGTTCTTCAACAACATCAGTATAGTCCATTATTTCAAATGTTTGACTCACCAAGACTACAATACCCAATTATAGAAAACATTACTCATACGCCTGACTCGGCATTTAACACTTGGAATCATCATTCTCAATGTGAGTTCAATTTGGAAGTCAATGTAGCTCAAAAAAGAACACATTCAGTTAGCAATATAATGTTCGATATAGGTATTGGAAATATGATGATTAATGACCACAATTTGAATGTGAATGCACGAAATACAAACAAATATTTAGGTACCAAAATGATGTCTTATATTGATGCTGAAAATGCGACTAGTGATGCACTTTGAAAAATAAATGCTAATTTTCAGCAACATATTGCTGAACCAAATATGTCTTATCCGAGCAATATAATCGCGAAACATAAAAGCGGTATATATGGAAGTTATTCAATGTAAGATTTTGATGCATATTCTAATTTCAATCATATGGGTTATTAGTTCCAAAATTGTGGACCTTCATATGCTAACTTACCCAATCCATATGACAATGAGCTTGATCAATTTTATTCTAATGATTAGGTTAGTGCTTCAATCTAATCTTATATTATATATATATATATATATATAATTGTTGGTATTAGCAAAAATCAATATAAATTTACAACAAAAGTTGACTCCATTAGTTGATGCATGTCACCTGGTTTAACACTAACCTATGTTATTGTAAATTTATATTGATTTTACCTAATATCAAAAATTAAAAAAATTATATATATAATATTAAAAAAATATATTAAATAACTTATCCGATCATCAGAATAGACTTAATCAAAGTCATTGTCATATGAATTGGGTAGGTTAGGACCTGAAGGTCCAAGATTTTGGAAGAAACAACCCATATTATTGAAATTATAATATGCATCACAATTTTCCTTCTCATTTGAATCTATTTCTTCTATCTCACTCATATAAGTTGTCACAATATTGTTTGGTTAAAACATACTTGATTCAACAATTTGTTGTTGTAAATTAACATTTATTTTTCCAAGATCGTTACTAGTGGCATTTTAAGCATTAATATTAGACAGTGTCATTCTACTTGAATTTGTGTTTGTATTTCCTTCATTCACATTCAAGTTGTATTCATTAATTTTCATATTTGTAACACCTGTATCAAATATTATTTTCTATCTGAATGTGTTGTTGTATAATCTACATTGAGGTTAAAGTTGTACTCACTTTGAATATAATGATTCCAAGTGTTAAATGCTTAGCCAGACTAATGAGTAATGTTTCCTGTAATTTGGTCTTGTCATCTTGGAGAAGCAAACATTTCCAATAATGGTCTATGTTTATGTTGTTAAAGCACACAATCAACAATATCTTACATAGAAAAAAAGGGGTTATTTAATGAATTCTCAATCTTGGGTAGTGGGGTTGAACCTGAAATTGTGGAGGATAGAGTTTCTCTTGAATTAAACTCTCCCCTCTGGCAAAACAGTTGCTAGTATTGGCAGTTGAAAACGCAAACTTTGGTCCTCTTTAAATTTTATTAGGAATATTATTTTGAAGACGGGGCATTAATGCTTGTGTAGGGACTAGACAAAAACATCTTTTATTAAACAAAAGAACTATCTTTTGAGGCTTAGGCTTTTAGTCTAGTGGTAAGAGCGTAACATGTGATATGTGGGTTAGGCACACTTTATAAACATACATAAAATCTTGGTACTTAAGTGTAAAATGATAAAGTTGTGAGCGAATTTTCCGTCAAGTTTCAAACTGTGTGCCGATAAACCTCGGGGATTTCTTGGTTCCAAAAAAAAATATCATAACTTGTTCTGATATCTTGTGGCACAAAGTTATTTATAGAGTTATTAATCACGATTGGTCAATATATAGTCTTATCTGTTTCAAATCTTATTCAACACTAGATCACTACAAATATTGGCAGGAATGAGTATGCTTTTTGTTATCACAATGTAATAGCTTTGTTGACGGAAAGAAGATGTTAACAAAAGAGTGTTAAAGATATTCACTTGTCTGGCGTTGTCATTTTTCTTTGGTCATTCTTATTTTATTTTACGAAATCTCTTTGGTCATTACTGCTACTTTAGGATTTAAAGAAGTTCTCTATGAATGGACTAGGAAATGTCGAAGTTTCCAAGGACCGGGATTTTTAAGTTACTACAGCAAATGAGCGAAGGAGACCATCTTTAAATGCATACCTTGCCTTGGAATAGGTACAAGCACCTTATTCCTATTTCGTGTGAGCATTATATTTTTATGATAATTATTTTCCTTCTTTATTCTTCTTTACTTTGAAAAGCATGGAATGTATACTCATTCATTCAAGGCTTTTTTATATACAACAATATGTAGTAAGCTTTATATTCTTATGTAGTATAAATCGTTAAAAGTATCTAAATATTAATTTCATGTTTACAAAAGTAGATTCATTATCATGATGTTTCCCTATCATGCTGGAATACAATAACAACCATGTCGCAATTCTAAGCAAGTTGGGGGCGACTATAGTTGCATATCAAGAAATTTCTACAAGAGTCTTCAAATTTTTAAGAAGTCAATAACAAGTATTTATGAATGGGTGCCAAATATTTATTAATCAAACTACATAATATTTAGCTAAACCATAAAAGTAGTATAATAAGCCTACAATTTTTAACCAAAAAACTTACATGAGAGATCAACACATTGTCTTGTATCTTGTGGCACAAAGTTATTTACACAGTTACTGACCATGATTGGTCAATATACACTCTAATTTGTTTCAAATTTTATCCACCACTAGACTACTAATAATATTGTGATGAATAAGTATGCTATTTGTTATCACTGTGTAATATCTTTGTCTACGCAAAAAGGATGTTTAAACGATAACACTAAAAGATATTCATTGGTCAAGGTTTATCATTTTTCTTTGTTCATTCTTACTTTTGATGAATGCTCTTTGCTCATTATTGCTACTTTAAGATTGCAAGGAAGTCGTCTATGGGTTGGACTGGGAAGTGGGTAACTGCATGGTTACTGAACGCTCCATGTGTACTAACTAATATCCCTTCTTAGTTTTCTTTGTGAGATGGTTATCTTAACCTCTTCCCACTTCTATAGAAGTCTTTATATAATTATTGCCCGCATTGCACTATAAAGTCGCTTAATTTAATGGTTAATAGTCTGACTACTCTTTCTTATCACACTATTACCATCCTTCTAAGTTCATACCTAACTAACTAGAGGAAACTTGAACTTTATTTAAGAGGCTTATCATTGTCTATATATGATCCCTTCGACCAGACTCTTAAGGGTGATAAATAATGCTTACATTAGTCTACTCCACATGGAAAACTCAAATATACTATCGAGATGTACGCGAACAATCATTAACTCAATTAGAATTTTGTATGACTACAAAAAATCTCAGTTACATCTTTTAGTGCACTTGTTAGGCTAATAACTAAGCCAAACTTTATTATTGTAACATCTCTATTCTAGATAAACTAAGGTTAAGCTAAGAAAAACAAGAAGAATCAAATTTGGAAATATGGAAAATTTCTAGATTTTAAAAGTGAGTTTTGGTCATTTTAAAATTTCTATAATTCCCATATCAGGGGTATTTTGTGTGATTTCTTTATATGGATGGAAAGCTCGTCAAAATATATTTGCAACGACACCAACTTTGAAAATTTATGAGGCAGTATGAGGTAGATATAGCTTTTGGAAGTAACGTTGTTGAGCAGGGAAAGTTCCAAATAAGGGTTTGTTAAGGTGTTTTGGTCTTTTCCTAAGTTAATTATTAAGTTCGTGTTTGGGGTAATATGTTGGAATTTAAAATGATCCTATTCAGTTTACACACGTAGAAAATAAGCTAGGGATTTTAGAGAAAGTAAAAAAGAGGAGTAATGAGAAGAAGACGCAAGAACGCCAAGAATTTGTTCATGGATTTCGTCGGGGGTAATCCCTAAGAAGTTATTGGAGATTATTTGGTTTTGGGTTTTTTCACGTACCCTCCAATTTGATTCATAACTACACTATATCGTTAATTAAAAGGAAATGTTGAAGTTCTTGATTAAACATTCGATGTTCTTGTTCGTTGAATTGTTGTTGATCTTTCTTAGTTTTAGTCAATGTTTCCAGACTATCTTTTGGTCTAAACTATTGGTTAACAAGTTATTTAATGATCCTAAGTGTTTGGGGTGGGCTCCATGGGAGTTTGGGAAGGTTTAGATGTGAAAAATGAGGAAGGATGTCGGAAAACCCGTTTGATAGATGTTGGGGAGCCACGCCTCATAGCACCTCAGGACAGAATTTGTCCGTCAGGCTCTACCACGCCGCGCCTGAGGACAGCCTCTGTCATTCAGGCTATGGCGCTCCGCACCTCTAAGAGAGCTAGGACCTCTGGAGTTCCCATTCATTCCCTATATTTTTGTACTAGTTCCTAAGTGATGTACCCATCATTCCTAGTTGATTCCAACACTCTAGAATACATCTAAGTATCATGAAATCATCCATAAATAGGCGATCATGATCCTTTATTCCATAATGAAATTCAAGGTTAACATCAAAGTCAAAGAAGTTAAGAGCCAAGTCTATGAGTTCAGAAGCAAGTCAACGTTAGGTTATCAAATGTTCTAAAGTCTATCACAAACATTTTCACTTTTTTTAAAGACTTAAAGTTCAAGTCAAGAAAGAGTAAAGAGTTGAGTTCATTTCTCAAAATCTATAAGTGAACTAAGTATTCCATAAGATTTAACATTTCAAGTAAGCAATGAGTATCTAGTTGAATTTACTTCTCAAAAGTTATAAGGGAACTAACTAGTCCCTAAGGATTTAAACAAAATGTTTTCAAACTTTTGAGAAGAAAGGGAAGCTAGACTTCCACAGAGCCTATGACTAGCTTTAATAGAAGAAAGAGGAAACTATGATTTCCAAGAGAGCTTTTTAAAAAGCTAAGTTATTAGCACTAATATCAATCACAGAATCAATATGTTTTTGAACATGAGATCCAGTATATTTTGGGGAGCATTATTGAGCACCGATATGGGGGAGAGTTCAGATAACACACAACCCTCATAAACTAAGTTAGCCGTCATGGATAGATCCATTAGGCAGTTCAAGGATTATACCTTTGGCCGGATATAGGATGCGCCGGCAGCGTGTGGTAGACCGTGTCATAGAGGTTTAAGCATGTTTTCAGCAAACATTGTTTATATGGCATTTTTTAACTACGTATATTGAATAAGAATTAGTAGATCATTAATTGACCAGATCGAAGGTAATTATTCATTTTTACTCCCTTTTAAGCCTAAATTTTATCTAGCTTTAAAACTCGCATACTCGTACATTCAATGAACTAATGCCAGTTGACCTGCATCATTTTATGATGAAGAAAAAGGTAACCAGGATCATGAGGTAGTGTTTTGTTGATCCAGATTGAGCTCCAGAATCAGTGGTAAGCCTCCTTGCATTTTTAAGGACATCGATTTGTTTTGTGCTTAGTAGTTTAATTTTAGGATATTGTGGGTCTATCCCAACATCCCTCTTCAATCATATTAGAGGCTAAGTAGACAGTAGTATTTTAGTTGAGAGTTTTTTGTTGCTTGTTAAGACTTGAGTGTCGTCATGGACAGATATCATAAGAATTACATTCCTTTAAACATGTGTTGTTTCTTGTTTAAGTTGAATTTAGTCTTCCGCTGAGTTAAGTAAGCCAGTCTAAGGGTTTGCTTGAGGGCTAGCAATGTCTTTGAGTGATGGCCACGTCTAGGGTGTAGGCTTGGGGTGTGACAAACTTGGTATCAGAGCCCAGATTTCAATAGTTCTAGGGAGTCTATGAAAACGTGTCAGTAGAGTCTAAAGCATCGGTGTGAAGCGTGCCACATCTATGATTAAGAGGCTATAACAATCATGAATGTTTCACTTCTTTTATGCTCCTTTAGTGCATAGAGTTTATCTCTAGTGTCTCTCTCTAATTTTTACATGCACGTATTTTTCAAATCATCATCCCTCCAAGAAGAGCATTAAGAGGTCGACCACAAAATATTATTGAGGAATAATAGATTCCAAATTCACCAGAGGTGCAACCTCAATGAAGGTTACCATTATTGAATTTTGGGAATCTATCAGGATGTTAAGTTAGGTTGTGAGTAACCAAGTTGGGCAATAGGGAGCATCTCAACAAGAAGGAGCTGATACCTCGAGAGTTCATAAGTTTTCTGGAATGAACCCTCCTAGTTTCACTAGATCAAGCCCTACTGAGGACCATAGAACTTTGTGGAGGAGTTAAAGAAGGTGTTTGAGGTAATGCATGTATTACATGTTGAGAGGGTCGAACTGGTTGCATATCAATTAAAGTGTGTGTCCAAAACCTTGTTTGATTAATGGAAGGATGGTAGTGCATGCACCACGTTCAAGTAAGGCTTGCTTTGAAGAAGCCTTCTTGGGGAGGTTCTTTCCTTGCGAAATGAAGGAAGCAAAGGTGAGGGAGTTCCTTTCTCTGAAATAGGACTCCATGAGTGTACAGGAGTATGTGATGAAATTCACCCAATTATCTTGCTATGCTCCAGAGATGATGAAAGACATGAGATGAAGAATGAGTCTCTGTGTTGAAGTGTTTGGTCGCCCTTCAAGTAAGGAAGGTAGGGCTTCCATGTTGATAGGTGACATGGACATATCCAGGCTGATGGTATATGTTCAATAAGTTGAAGAAGAGAAGGTGAAGGATAGAGAAGCGTACCAACATAAGAACGCCAACAATGCAAATGAGTCTGGCAAATAGAATTGTAGTTCAAACCCGACCACAATTCCAAAAACAAAAAGGGCATACACCATCATCTTCTAGTGCACCTGCACCCAGAAACTGAAGTGAGTGTAGTGATAGAATTTGTAGCACTTCAAGGCTAGGCCGGCTCAATCTCAAGGTAGTGTGGTGCAAGGAGGTACTGAGCCTCCTGCCTGCGCCAAGTGTGGTAGGAATCACTCTGTCATCTATCTTGAAGGATTCATGGATTGTTTCAAGTGTGGTCAATAGGGTCACATCATGAGACACTGCCCCGTAGACTAGCGAGGCGGTGGGAATTTGGGCAATAGAACTCAATCTTCATCAATTTCTCCACCAAAACGGCTGCACCTAAGGGAGATTGTTCTGGTATAGGAGGAGGGACAAACCGCTTGTATGCTTTTAATAAATTCAATGAACAAGAGAATCCACCAGATGTTGTTACTGGTATGATTCGAGTCTTTGACTTTACTGCTTATGCATTACTATACTCAGGAGCTAGTTTATCTTTTGTAACTCCTTATGTTTCTATGAACTTTGAGATTCTTCTGAGCAACTTAGCGAACAATTCAATGTATCCAGACCGGTTGGTGAATCCATTTTAGCAGAAAGAGTTTATCGTGATTGTCCTATTTTCATCAGTCACAAGAGTAC